AAGCCAGGCCGGCAAGAGGGCAGGAGGCAAGCTAGGAAAGCCCTGTCTTCGGCCACAGCCAGAGCAAAAAGGATTGCTTTCTTTTTTGAGGTTCTCCATGTCCTACAATCAGATGTCCAAGCAGGGTTACCAAAGTGGTAATATGTTTTAAAGTCTTGAAGTCATTAATAAATGGATGCTTTTAATAATCCACACGTGTAGGCGGAAGTTTTCCTGTGTCCTGCAGCTGCTCTGTTCCAAGCAAACACACAGAGGCTTATATTAATTACAGACTGTTTGGCCTATGGCTCAGGCTTATCATTAACTAGCTCTTGCAACTTAATTCAACCCATCTCTATTAATCTATGTTTCGCCACATGGCTTCGTGGCGTTACCTGTGTTTCATTACATCTTGCTCCCTGACAGAGCTTAACGTCTCCCCTGACCCTGCCTTCTTCTCATTGTCTCTCTGCTTGGATTTCCCACCTGGCTACAACATGTCTTGCCATAGGCCATAACAGCTTCTTTGTTAACCCATGGTAGTAACACATACTCACAGCATACCGAAAGACCATCCCACAGCACACACGCAGTTCAAAAATTATGCAGTTCAGCCGGGCGGTGGTGGCGCACGCCTTTAATCCCAGCACTCGGGAGGCAGAGCCAGGCGGATCTCTGTGAGTTCGAGGCCAGCCTGGGCTACCAAGTGAGTTCCAGGAAAGGCGCAAAGCTACACAGAGAAACCCTGTCTCGAAAAACCAAAAAAAAAAAAAAAAATTATGCAGTTCAAAAACTCAATGGGGACTGTGCACACAAATATCAGCTCACACTAGAGCACGTGCTAGTAAACCGGACTAACCACAGGACCGAGGTTTGAAGACGAAAGGAACACCATTACATCTGAATCCTACAACTTCGCTCTTGGGTTGAGTTTCTAAACCCATTTGGAGATAACCAAAGTTTCAACTTGAAGCTCTTTGCAAATACGAGTCCTGGACCAGCATGACTCCTGCCTAGCTTGCAGTCCTTAGTCCTGCCCCACGATATCCCACCAACTACCCCGCACTTAAGCAGGTGCACTCCCCACTGCCTCCACTGCCCACGGGCAAAGGAAGAGAGCGGAGAGCTCTTCTGTGCCTGAACCCAGGGCAGGGGCCCTTCCCACCCCTGGGCTTTTGGTTTTTTCTACCTGTGCCTTCCCACTGTCTATTCACAAGGCTTTGGCTTCTTGAGGCCCTGTTAAGAAACTGCCATTCCAAACAGCTAAAACCACTTGACATGTAGTGCAGCAGACACCCTGCAAGGTATAACCGCATACTCATCGGCAGAATGCTGCACCCAAAGATCAGGTAGTGCCCCTGCCTTGCGGAGGTTCCTATTGCTATGCAAATGACTTGGAAAAGATGCATCAGGCTCCCTTCCAATGTCCCCCAAAGGTAGCCAAAGACTGTGGTTTTCACCTGAACACATGCTGCAGCCAAGACAGTGCCTGCCCAGGCCAGCAGAAACCAACGTAATTCACTCATCAAACCGTTAATTCTACAAACATCCACTGCACGCCCTTGCGTGTGAAGTGCTGAGCCAGGTGGTGAGCGCCCAGCCCGTCACACACAGAACATGATAAAAGCTTGTCCTGCATCAGCATCCAAGATGAAGTAGGGGTACAGGATGAAGGCCGAGGAGAGAGCCCAGTTAAGGCTACCCCAGCGTGCTCCCAGGCTGGAACACCTGAGAGAGGCTCTGTCTCCCACCCAGCCACCTACTGCTGCTGCCTTGAATTCTGTCCCTCCTCAGTCTTCTGCCTCACTTTCTCACCAGCCTCCACGTCCCTTTTCCCTCCTAGCTGCCAGCTCTGGGTAAGCATAAAAGGCAGACAAATTCTTGTTCTCACAGCTTCCTCGGCCCTAGAAAACTGTCCTTTTTCATGCAAACGCCTGCTTTACACAGGCCCTACCATCTATTCCTTTCCACTATAGCCTCCAGAAACAAGCGAACTTAACGGTAAATGCCATGAATGCTATGTTTTGCTCTTAAACAAAAAAAAAAAAAAAAAAGTAAAGTAAAATAAGCTGCAGCTAGACCCAGCAAGAGCTCGGTGAGGAGGCCGCCTCTGAACCAGAAAACTGAATGCAGCACCTTCGGAGCTCCCTCAGTCCTGGTGCTGAGGTTTCTGTGCGTGCCAGTTAGTGCGCGAGTCACATCAGCTTCCATCTCTGATGCTCGGCGCCCTTAGCAATCACCTTCCCACACAGTATCATAAACTGTAAAGGCTGCAACCACTGTTCAGGTTACAACCACGATGATTTCTACAAATGAGAGGGATGCGGTTCCGCCCAGTCAGCCCCAGTCAAGCAGTTACCCGTGAGATAGACAGACACCTTTCCTTCTAGCAAATTCAGAGTGTCCTTGGCTCAGGTTCCCATTGCCATAAATTGCCATGTCTCTGTAGTAACGTATCCATTTGTATGTAGGAAGTTCTTTTTCTACATTCATAGAAGACGAGGGAGATGGCTCCAGAGCCCCGGGTCATGTCTAAGATCATCTAGATGGTCCTCCACTGCTTGATTTTAACATGCTATATCTTGAAACATTCCTTCTCTGGCAAACACTGGATTTAGACCTCACCTTATATGAACCTTCAAGTCAGTGATCAGCTCACTGCTTAGCATAGACCCAGCAGGAAGATTCTCGACATTATCTTTTGGGGCTAGGGGTATAGCTCCATGGTAGAGCACCTGCTTAGCATGCAAAAGGCCCTGGATTTGATACTCAGCACCCTTCGCAAATTAAGTGAAAACAGACAAATAAATATCCCTTCCCAGGTTGCCTTTTGTCCTTTACCTTTTCTTCTGGGGTCTCCCACCTCCCTGTAGTTTCACATTTTGCTATAGGTTTTAGCTATATTACCTTCTCTGACTATCCAGGCCATCCCGATGTTTTAGAGAACTCACAATCGCTAGAAAAACAAAGAAAGCACCCCTGCATACCCTCATAACATGTCCCCCAATAAAGAATATGTCCTGGGAGTTCACATCATCGCTATCAGTTTGGATTAAAAACTTCCTGGATGTTGTACCAATCATAGCCCTCGAGACACTGCAGAAAACCATGAAAATCGGTATGGAAGATTTCAGAACACCGACTGACGCAGTATGCTGTGACCAGCTAGTAAGTCAAAACAGCGCAATTCAGGGAGAAGGAAACCTATTATCGTCCAGCACTAAAATATGGAACAAAGTTTTCCAAGAATGCCAAGATTAAGATCAAAGAAGAAAAATGAATATTGGAATTGCTGTGTTTACATAGGTGCATTGCATGCAGTCCAAGGGCGTTTTGTAGATGATAAAGAAATGAAATTAAAGAAAGGGGAGTTTTGTTTTGATTATTAGTCAAAAACGTTATCTCTGGTATGGGGAACGTGAGAGAGGAAGCTCCGGGCAAGAACTGGGATAAAAACACGGAATGAGTTTTGGAGATGATTGCCTTGCCCCAAGATCAAGAACAGGAGTGGAAACAGGAAGGGTTGACACCATTGCCAAGGAAGTGGGTGAGCACCAGGCACTCGGGAGTAGACTGCCCTGCTAACTTACAGACGGGATTGGCGTGTGAGACCCTAACAGAGACCTGACAGGATTTTTCCTCTGAGCGGCATCTGCCCAAATCCTACTGTTTTAGGAAGATCTCTTTTACTCTTGCTTAAGGAGTGTGGTGGTGAAATTACTATATACACACAAGATGCCAATACCAGGACAGGGTGGGGGGGGCGGGGAGAAGGGACGGGGGTGGGGGGCACTGCTGTATTTTTCAGGGGTATGGAACACCTAACATGGTGATTCCTTAGGTTAAAATCAGAGAACGTCTCAGCCTGCCCAGTGTCATCTCCAGGAAAAGAGCCAATATCGGTCCTGCCACCACCTACTGCAAAGTAGACTGTCCCCAACACTGCTGTCAACTGCAGCTTCCATATTTCCTTCTCAGAATGAGACGATTGCGGGCAGGAAGTCTTTCTCGAGCAAGGGCAGCGCCTCTGTGGGGAAGCCCCAGAACCCCATTCTCGGGCTAGGGGACGTTCCTGCAGGCCCCACACCAACTTCTCCAGGTTAAAATGGCTCTCCGGGGCTCTACCTTGGACTCCCAGAATTCCATCCATGCTCTCCCAGCCTGTGCATTCCTGCAGCTCTAGCCGGTGCTAGAGTCAGCTGCTTGGTTGCTGTGGACCTCCAGATGTTTGTAATTAGACAGTGGGTCTAGTCTAAGGTGGCCCCTTAGCATGCTTTGGTCTGAAAGCAAGGACTGCAAATAGCAACAGTTGCTTTCAGGGCTCTAGATCCCTGCCTGGGGTGTCTCCGCACAGACCCCTGTCCCATGAAAGGCTGCCTGATGCTCTACCCATGGCAGAGCCCTTCTCCCACCAGGCCTTGGGTCCGGTTGGACAACCCCAGCCAGGCTTCCAAGGGAATTCCTCCTCCCTGCCACCAGCGACTCCTCTGGAATGACCTTAACACAAAATGTTGCCAAATGCCCAGGGGTGAGAGGCGTCTTCCAGGTCCACCCGCGGACCCACGGGGTCAGGAAGGGCCCAGGAAGGGCAGTCGCCCCAGTCGTCCTGAGAGATCTGGGGAGGATGCTCTCTGTGTGTGCGGCGCAGGAGAACTAACTGGTCACCTGAGCAGGAGCGGGCAGTGCCACCTCTGGAGCGCCTGCCGCGTTCACCCAAGGCAGCTCCCCAAGAAAGCCGGGGCGGCCAGCGCGAAAACGCCGCGGTGCAGACCCTTCCCGGCTCCGCCACCCGGGAGGCGGCAAAAGTTCCTCCCGAGCGCGCTGGCCTGCCGGCCTCTGTTCAAGGTGCTGAAAGGACTGTCGGGGCCAGCGCGCCCCTAGCCCCCCAGGGCAACCAGCCGCGTGCCCTGGCCGCCACCCCCACGGCGCTCCGGGAGGGTCAGCTCCAGCGCGGCCGAGCGCCTTCCCGCAGCTACTCCAGGCGCCTCGGTGCGGGGCCGCCGCCGCCGCCGCCCCCTTACCTTCTTCTTGCGGTCACGGGAGCGGTTGCGCCGCTTCTTGTTGGATTCCTCCTTCTCCTTCTGCTCCTGGAGGGCCTGCGCCTCGATGTCTTTGATTTTCTTCAGCTGTTTGGCCGCCTGAGCCATGGCGGGTCGCCGCGCTCGGTCCCCGCCTCCCGGGCCCGCGCACTCTTGCGATCCGCCGCCGGCGACACCCTCCCGGGCAGAGCCGCCGGCTCCCTCGGCTGCGCGCTGAGTGCGAGCCGCTCACCCGCGGCGGCCAAGGCTGCGGCGCCCGGAGAGCGGGCGCGGGGGCGCGGAGGGCGAGGAGAGAGGCCGGCGCGCGGCTGCCCGAGCCCCGGGGTGGCGCCTCCCGCCGCGGCCGGAGCTCGCTCGCCCGCGCCCCGCACCGGCTCTGGGCTCGCCGCGCGCCCTCGCCGCGCCCGCCCGCCCGCCCGCCCGCCCGGGCCCCCCCCCCTCTCCTGCGGCGGCGGCGGCGCGGGGGGCGGGAGGGAGGAGGCTCGTACTGCGGCGCGGGCCGCGGAGGGCGGACTCGCGGGCTCGCGGGAGGCGCGGGGGGCAGCTCGGCGCGGCCACCCCACCAGGCTGGGAGCAGGGGCGCTGCGAGCGCCGGGTCCCCACTGCAGCGAGGCCCCGGAGCGCGGCAGAGGGAGGAGGAGGGGGGGCGGCGGGGAGGGCGGGGAGGGCGGGGAGGCTCGCCTTTGGGCGACCGGAACAAAGCGGGAGCGCTCAGCCTGAGCCCGAAGCGGGCGACCCTGCGGCCCCGCGTGCCTGACGCCGGCGGAAACGCCAGCATCGCCGGGCCAGGCTGCGGAGCGTGGGACCTGGGCGCCGCTGCGGCACGGACTCCGCTAGCACCGAGCCGGGCCAGGGGCGCCCTCCGGGAAGGGCCGAGGCTCCCTGCCTGAGAGCCTGCTTTGCCCCTGTCAAAGCAAGAGGGCCTTTCATTCGCACATTCACCAACTCTAGATAGAAAACGTGTCCAAGCGACAAGCAATTCTTTTCCTTTGCGCTCTGTTTGGACGGGAGTGGAACTGGGTCTCCTCACCAGGGACCGCCCACCCTGCATTAGCAGGTCCCTCCCCACCCTCCTAGGTACTGTAGTCGGGACCGGTGTTCAGCCGTCAAGAGCCTTACCAGTTGGGGTCATGCAGCTACCATCGCAGGCTGTGGGAGGGGGAAGTGGCTTACGCTCATTTCACCACTCAGTCATGTGACAGGCGGGGAAACTGAGGCCCCGACCTATGAACATTGCTGCCTTTCAGTCTGCCGCAGCTCCAACCTACTCCTTCCCTGTCCCGCGGGATGCTAAGGACAGAGTTTTGGACACCAGTGTTTGAGACTTGGGGAAGTCATTATGAAACAGCCTGCTTCCTCCTGCCCCAACGCCATCCCCACCCCCGGCCTGTGTAGCGGTTTGAAGCAGCTCTAGTGAGCTGGGTACTGTGCCACCCCGTATCTCACAAACACATCTCGCTCAGTGACTTCCATTTCTGTCTTCCCACTAGGCACTTGACAGGAAGTACGGTGCTGGCTGAGCCTAGGGTTTTGACGGGTCTAACTGCCGTCTTTTTCCCAGGGGTGAGTCCTGAGTCTTTTTACTGCAAGCATAACCACAAACACCAATCACATATGCAACTCCAATTGCCATGTAGCTACTTATTTTCAATGTAAAGACACTGAGAAGTTGATTTGAAATGTATTTGAAGCCTATACACGCCCCCCCCCCAAAACCACCATTTCAACATGAGGCTGATATATTATTGATGAGATTTTACATTTTTCTGCTGAGTCTTAAGAAGCGAGTCTATTCTCGGCTGGATTCAAATAAGGCACAGTCCCTCACCACCGCAGGTCTCTCTCTGGTGGTCACTGGTGGATAACACACCTTGGCTGTGACCAGCCTGCCCAGAACAGTACCCTCTGGAGCCCCAGCTCCCATGTCCTTTGTATCCCTCTGGCCACCCACTAAAATGTCTCTTCGCTATAGTCAGGATGGTATTTGCAAATAGATATAATTATCGTTACTTCCCTCTAAACATCCTCTTTGTTCCAAGATGAAGATCAAAATCTGTTCTATTAGCTATGAGGACCTGAATGATCAGCCTCACCCTGTCCCCCCGCCCCAGCTTCTCATTCTAGGCCTTTTTGGGTGCCCACGTGTCATCTAAAGGTGCGGGGGCCATTTACCACAGGACCTACATCCTGCTGCCCTTGCCCAGACTGCCCTGTCCCTACTCCACCTCCGTCCCTCCCCTCAGCTCAGCAGAACTGAGAAGCCCCCAGAGAGACAGCCCTTTCACTGTGACACCCCACAAGTGCTCTCTCGTTACACCTGGCATGGGATTATTTTACATTCGTGTGGGTCAGGTGGGTTGATGCATGGCTCCGCCCCCCGGATTTTTAAACTCCAGAAAGACAGGCACGGGGCTTTGTTCGCGAGTGTATCTTCAGCACCTTGGCCAGTACCACACACTACCGGAAGCTCAGTAGCTGGGAAGTTAAAAGCGAGTCCGCTGTGTACTGGTGTAAGGAATACGCATTAAAACAGCAGCGCGTAAGCCGCTCTGAACATTTCCACTCCTTTACAGATGGGTACAAATGGGGAACAGGGACGTTGAGTAGCCTTCCCGAGATCACACAGCGAATAGAGAGTAGAGCTAAGGTCTGAAGACCAACAGTCTGGTGGCAGAGTCCACCCACTGACTCAGAAAACGCAAGAAACCGTTTCTCTTCCTTGTCTGTGGCAAGGATGATGATAACGTCTCCTTTGACAGACAAAGAAGAGGGGTGGACTAAACTGGTGTTTGTCGAATCCTGACACTGGTCGAAACCGTGTTTAGCTCCAGAATACAGATGTCTCTTGCATATCAAAATCTCTACAGGAACCGGGCGGTGGTGGCACATGCCTTTAATCCCAGCACTTGGGAGGCAGAGCCAGACAGATCTCTGTGAGTTCGAGGCCAGCCTGGTCTACAGAGTGAGATCCAGGACAGGCACCAAAACTACACAGAGAAACCCTGTCTCGAAAGAAAAAAGAAAAAGAAAAAAAATCTCTACAGGAGCCCTTTAAAGGTAAAATAAAATCAAACAAAATTCCTCTGAGACTGAGAGTAAAGCCTTAGTAAGAAACAGAGATCCTGGCTCAGCTGTCCTTGGAGTCATCACTAAGGTGGTGGCTCTGGCCCTGGACTTACACAGTTCCCATGGGGCCGGGTGTCGTAAGCGCTGTTCAGTTTCAGGATCCTCTCTTGTCAGCTGCTTCTCCCAGGACTGGTGATGTTCTGGCAGACCCCTACTACAGAGAAACAAGCAGGAAGGTACAGGCTAAAGCTACTTGCTCCACAGGCTCATCTGTCCCCAAAAGGGAGGCTGGAGGAGATAGCCGGTGAACTCTCCTCCAGGAATGAGGAGCTGGGTGAGGCCCACATGGTGGCAGCTGGAGAGACTGCCTTATTTTGGGTGGGAACACTACTGAATAAAAATGGTCCCCACACGTCCATAGGGAGTGGCACTATTAGGAGGTGTGGACTTGTTGGAGGAAGTGCATCGCTAGGAGGAGGGCTTTGCTGTCTCAGAAGCACAAGTCAAGCCCTAGTGGCTCACATTCTCTTCCTGCTGCCTGCTGATGCAGATACAGAACTCTCAGCCCCTCTCCAGCACCATGTCTGCCTGCACAATGCCATGTTTCCTGCCATGAAGATGACTGACCAAATCTCTGAACTGTAAGCTAGCCCCAGTTAAATGTTTCCCTTATAAGAGGTGCCGTGGTCACGGTGTCTCTTCACGGCAATAGAGACCCTAGCTAAGATACCAGGTAACTCTTCTCAGACTTCTCATTGCCACAGACCATCTGTATCCTTTGCTAACCTGAATACTTACTGGGTCCTAGGCACTGCCAACCATTTACAAAGTATTTATCAAAACAAAACATGCCCGTAACCCCTATCCAATTCCAACAAAAGCATCTATTATGGTTTAGATATGAAATGTCCTACCAGAAGGTCTTCTATTGAAGGACCGGTTTCCCAAGCAAGTAGTGCTCAGAGGTGGGGCTTTGGGGCAGTGGGTAGGTTTGAAGGGCTCTCACTTCATGAATAGGCAGATCCATTGATAGATTCAATGTTTTGTTTTGTTTGTATGTTTGTTTTTCGAGACAGGGATTCTCTGTGTAGCCTTGGCTGTCCTGGAACTTGCTCTGTAGACCAGGCTGGCCTCAGTCTCAGAGATTCACCTGCCTCTGCCTCCAGAGTGCTGGAATTAAAGGCATATACTGCCACCACCACCACCACCACCACCACCACCACCACCACCACCACCACCACCACCACCCCACCCCTGGCTGCTGGATTCGAATTTTGAATAGAGTATTGGGAGGTGATGGAACTGTGGGAGTTGGGGCTGGATGGGAGGGAGGGAGTCACTGGCAGTGGCTCTGTCCACTTTCTGTTTTTTCTCGATGATTGCTTGCTAACTACTGTGAGATGGACAGCCTCGACTGCATGATGCCTAACTTCGTGACAGGCCCCAACAATGAAAGAGCCAAGCTTGGGCTGAAACCTCTGAACCCAGGAGCCCAGACAAGTCTTTTCTCCTTCCAGCTCTTACGCTGTCACGGTGACAAGAGTGTGGCTAGCCAAGTGTCATCACCCCTGTTTTCCATATAGAGAAGCTTAGGCTATGTGTACTTAAGTGACTTCCTTTCGGCCATGCTCCAGTGAAGCAGACTCAGAGTACAGGCCCAGGGTGAGGCTCCATCTCTCAATATCCCCCATCAAGGTACGGTTCGGGTATGAGGTGTCCCTCCAAAAGACTGACATAAGACAGACCATCAGATGACCCACTATGCCAGCAATGAGCTAAGGTCTTTGTAATGTTGATCTGACAGGATTAAAATCACCATAGGAATAAATCTTTGAGTACGCCTGAGAGAGATTGTTTAAAGTAATTGAGATGGGACGGAACAGTGGGCAGCATTACTCCGTAGGCTAGGACTCAGGACTAATCCGAGGAAGGGAGCTGAGTCTGGATAACCACTTCTCTGCTTCCTGACAATGGAGGCAGTGTGGCCAGCTGCCTCATGCTTCTGTGATGGATTGGACCCAAGGATTGTAAGCCAAAAGTCCCATAACCCATCTTAGTTGGGGTTTTTATTGCTGTGCAGAGACACCATGGCCATGGCAACTCTTATAAAGAAAAGATTTAATTGGGGTGGCTCGCTTACAGTTTCAGAGGTTCAGTCCATTGTCATCATGGCAAGGGACATGGTGGCATATAGGAAGATGTGGTGCTGGCAACATTTA